CCCAATGTGGAGTTTGCTAATTGAAGCAAAATTTTGTTGAGTGCTTTTGTTTCCAAAGTGAATTGTTGCAAAGAGAAGCAATCTTGAACCGAGGTATTACTGTAATTAAAGGAAGAGGTTTTTTGACTCACAGCTATAGGTGATTCAGTCCATAGTTGGCTGGTTCCAAGGCAGGAGCATCATGCTAGCAGCTGCATAACTCATGGCCACGAGTAAGCAGGGCCAGAGTGGAAGGGGCCCTGGAGCAGATGTAGGTGTGATCTGGGCTCACAGCTCTATGGCCCCCTAGACACACCTAGAAATGTGCTTTACTAGTCTGCTGCTGATGTCTTAATCCAGATAAACTGAAGTGTTAAGGTACATAAATGGTCATTCAGAGGTACAAAATATTGTTACTTAGGAGTTATTTCTAATGTTCTACAGCACAGTCGGTTGATCGTAGTTCACAAGGATTTATTATATATTTTATAAAAGATGCAGAAGACAGAATATGGATTGTTCCCAAAGTGAGAAAATGAAAATGTTTAGAAAAGTGTAATTGTCTGTTACTTTGGTTTGACCATTACACAGAGGTGGTTCATTTCCAATCACCAGTAACAGATGCATTGAGCTTGTTATTTAAAGAAGAAATATTGCTAGGCATGGTGTTGCAAGCCTATAATCCTAGAACTCTGGAGGTTGAGGCAGGAGGATTGCCATGAGTTTGAGGCCAACCTGGGTTACATTATGAGTTCAAAGCCATCCTGAACTACATAGTGAGATCCTGTCTCAAAAAATAAAAATGTAAAACAAAAGGAAAGAAAAGAAAAATTTAATTCAGGCATGATGTGTAATGCCTTAATCTTCCTGCCCTGGGAGGCTGAGGCAGGAGGATGGCAAGTTCAAGCACAGAATTGGCAAATTAGCAAGATCTTGTCTCAAAAATAAAAGAGCTAGACAGGCAGCTCAATGTGAAGGCCCCAAGTTTAATGACTAATAATGAAAATAAAATATATAAAATAATGTCATATATATTTTCACTTCCTGTAACCACAATGTTGATGAAATATTTTGACCTAGTTATCTCATTACTGTAATTTCCCATAGTTTATGAGAAATTCAATAGAAGACCCAGCATTTTTCTTTGCTTTTTGGTTTGTTTGTTTGTTTGTTTTTGTCTTTTTTAGTACGGAGATTTAATCTAGGGACTTCCTAATAAGCTGTATCAAGAACCCCACAGCACAGCCCTTTTTTAAATTGGTAGTGTATCCCTAAGTTGCTGACTTGTTCAGCCTGGACTGGAACTTGCTATTCTCCTGCCCCAGCCTTTCAGAGTGCTAGGATCACAGATGTGCACCACCATGCCTGGCTAGAGGCTGCAAATGTTGTAGGATAAAACCTTACTTGATTCCAAATAAGTCACTTTATTAAATAAATAAATAATTTGAATCACTTTATTGCTTGAAGACACCCTCTTGAAAAATAAGTAGCTGGAATCCAATGATGACTACAGATACTTTTACAAACTTTTATTTATTTTTTCCTGAGACAGGGTTTTGCTATGTAGTTCAGGCTGGTTTTGAGCTCAGTATGTAGCCCAGGCTGGCCTTGAACCCGCAGTGATCCTCCTGCTTCAGTCCTCTGAGTGCTGGGGTTACAGACATATGCCACCAGCCTTGGCCACAAACAAATTTTTTGAAGGAAGTATTTTTTTTTCTTTTTTGAGACAGAATCTCACTAGGTAGTTCAGGATAGCCTCAAAATCACTCTGGAGACCAGGCTAGCCTCAAACTCACAGTGATCCTCCTGCCTCAGCCTCTCAAATGCTAGGATTACAGGCATGTGGCACCACACTAGGCAGAAGATTTTTTAAGACATAGAACTGTCCCCAGATTTTCAGTGATATGGAACAGCAATCCATTTTGATACATGTTCAGAATAAAGTAACATCATAAAAGAGAATTCTAAACTAATGCATGAAATTGAAATTACTGGCCTAGAATTCATTATGAATACAATCATTTCTAGGAGGATAATATTCAGAATTATTTAAATGAGGATATTAGACATTCATTGTATTCTTACTAATTTTAGGCAATAGACCAACCCATTTGACTGGGTTCCCTATACTAGTTGTATCAACAATAGTAACAACTCATTTCTTGGTGTTTTTTGGATGTTTGTCTTGTTTGGAGACAGAATTTCATTATGTTGTCTATGCTGCCTTTAACTTGCCATCCTCCAGCACCACCTCTGGAGTGGCAGGATCGCAGGCATGTTCCACTATAACTGGCATGTTTTATGTTTTTACTAATATTTTATAAGCTGGAAATCTGATGGAGTTAAGTAAGTTCCCTTAGAGTTAGGGTTAGGATTAGAGTTAGGATTAGGGTTAGGGTTTGGGTTAGGGTTAGAGTTAGAGTTAGGATTAGGGTTAGGGTTAGAGTTAATCTTAAGGTTAGGGTTAGGGTAACCCTTTTAAGGTGAATGTGGTCGCACAGAGACAGGGGCAAAGGTGGTATGATCAGAAGTTGAAGCTGAGCCTGGTCAACTTATTGAGTGAAAGAGACCTTGTCTCAAAATAGAAAAGTGAAAAAAGAGCAGGGATGTAGCTCAGTGCAAAGGCCTTGGTTCAATTCCCAGTAAAACTTTTAAAAATTTCTTTAAAAATTTTTACTATATACAATTTATAATTGAGTGCATTTATAGGGCACAAAGTGATATTATGATGTGTGATTACAATTTAAATAATTAAATCCAACATTGTAGGGGTGAGAACATTTGAAATTGCTATTAGTAATTATTTATAACTTCCTTTCCATATTGAATTATAGGTCTCACCTAGTACAGTTTATAATAGTGATGAGCAAGGAAGTATACAAAGGAGAAAAATAAAAAAATTGAAAGGAAAATATAAACCATTGATAGGTCAACGATCTGAAGGAAATGATTCATCTTTTTTTAAAAGAAAAACTATATAACTTTCAGCACTCTGAGAGGCTGTAGAGGAGGATCACAAGTTCCAGTCTAACCTGGGCAACTTAGCAAGACTGTACTTCAAAATAAAAATTAAATGCAAGGGCTAGATTTGTACTTCAGGCCCTGGGTTTAATCCCCAGGATGGCAAAAAAGGAAAAGAAAAAACAACAATGCTACATACTAGCAAAGTATTAAACAAAGAGATAAGAAAATGTATTTAAGATTAAGTGATTAATTATATAATTCAAAAGGTCTAGAAGAGCGTGAAAGTTCCCAACACATCAAAATTATCATATGTGATACTAGAAGACACAGAAATGCTAATTATCGGAATTATCATTACACATTTATATGTGTATGAAATTAGGATATTGTATTCTATGCATACAAATATGTTAATTTTAAAAATAATTATTAAATTTTTTTTTTCTGGAACTGAGGATTGAAGCGGACATTTCTACCAAGCTGTATTCCTAGTCCTTTTATAATACTTTGTTGTCTAAACAGGCCTTGAAATTGTGATTTTCCTGCCTCATATTAGTTTTGTTCTTCTTCAACTTTGGATGCGTCCCAGGCATTCCAGTGTCACCACCACCACTTATCCATACATGAAAGGAAAGTGCTGAAAACTGACCGTGTGGTAATGCACGTCAGTAATCCCAGCACTTGGGAGGCTGAGGCAGGAGGATCGCTGGGAGCTCCAGGCCAGCTTGGGTACATAGTGAGTGCAAGGTCAGCCTGAATTTACAGACAGAATTTATCAAAAGAAAGCAAAACCAAACAAAACCAAACAAATGAAAAAAAAACCCCTTACTTACATGTTAAGCTCCTTTACTTATGATTTATTATAAATCTAGTCAATAGTTTTCAACAATAGAATGATTTTTAGCTATTGGATATTTCTGTTTCATTTTGGTGGGACTGTTCTATGTCTTCTGAGGTCTTTAGCAGAATTCCTGGTTTCTACTCATCAAAGCCAGTAGTAACTAGCAGATGTGATAACATAATATTCCTAAACAGTGACAAATGTCTCTAGAAGGAAAAAAAATAAAATTACCACCAAATAAAATTACCCCAAATAAAATTACCACCCTTGTCATTGGAGAAAGAATTGAGATATTTATAAGATCCTCAAAACAATTCAGACATGCTAGTCTTTAAATCAATATGACTATACAAGGCAGTAACATGTAAAATTGATTATAAAAATATAATATTATGGTGGACAGTTTGCCTCTAAAACAGAAGTGTTGTGGTTTGTGTCTAGATGTCCCTCCAAAGCCTCACATGATCATAGGGCTTTTTCAGAGGTGGCTGAATCTAGAGTGTGTGATGCTGGGATTCAGGATGTGTGATTACTACCTCAATACACTAATTGGCTTGGCACTGCCCTGGTCCCCATAGTCTGGATAAGATAGAAGGGGCAGAAGACATTGTTAAGGTCCCTTGTTGGTTTTGCTCCCCTGTGGGGGCCATGAACTGTTTCTCCTCTCTGATGCTCCTCTGCCATGTGCCACTCTGCCTTGGAGGCAGACGTTCATGGACTGAAACCTCTACAAACTGTTAGCTAAATAAAACCTTTCCCCTTTAACTTTGAGTGTTGGGTATTTTGTCTCAGCAATGAGAGAAAAGTAACTAACACAAAAAGTATACCAGTAAATATGTATTATTGCAATGAAAAATAAAAAATAGTCATTTACCTACTAAAAGTACACTTTTTTATAGCAAAACATTTATCAGTACATCATAGGGTTACATTTTCATAAATTAGAATTACAGCTGCTTTACATCCAAGTCTCTTCTCATCATTTCTTTATATTCATCAGGCAGGAGCTAGGCCCTCTTACCCCTCAAGCATGAATTTATATTTCAAATTCCTATTCTGACCCCATCACCCAAGTCCATGAAGGTGACTTCTACTCTCAAGTCAATGATTTTCCAAGGTTGCTGCCTGCTGTCCAAAATGTCCTTTCTCATTCACACTGAGACAATGGCTCTGTGTTCCTGGTGCTCAGAAGGAAGCATAGGACATATGCATCTAACTAGACAGAGATACAGGAAGAGCATGGAGAAGAGTGCATAGGGTAACAGAATCTTGAGGTATTATTATACATTTCACCATGACCAACACAGAACCGGACAATCCTGGGATGTTTTAATGAATCCACAATCCTCGTTAGCACATCAGAAATCTGGTCCCATCTCTGATTGGCACCATGATGGGAAACATAAATCCTTTGAGGAACAGAGTACATCTCCAGGCGCAAGTTGCTCAGCCTGGCTGTGTGACACAGCAAGCTCTCCAGCATGGCTACCGACATGGAGTTCATGTAGCTGAAGATCTTGAGCTGGGAGCATCGGCTCAGTGCAGGAAGAATGACATGGAGATAGGCATCTGGGATCCCGAATTCGTGTAAGTGCAGAGTGGTCAGAGTGGTTGCAATATTATCCAGTAGAACTCGGAGTGGGTCGGGACTAAAGTTAGTCATTCTGGCACTACAAGCTCCAAGTGCTTTAGCTGCCTTGTGCTCAAACACTGGGGCAGCTGATTCCAGTCTGAGCCTGAAGGCTTGCAGCAAGAAATTGAGAGTTTCTCCAAGGGGGATGTCAGGGACTTGAGCACTGGGAAGGAGACAGAGTCCAAATAAACTTCCTGCAGGCAGTGAAGCTTAGGAAATTGAGAGGTAAGTTCAGGGACTAACTGCTTTATCTGCTCCTTGGAAAAGAACAGTACAGATAAGTTGTGGAGAGTTAGCTTTTGAAGATTTTTCATCTGTCCTACGTAAGAAGGGAACTGAGCCAGTATGGAATGTGTCGAGGTTAAATATACCCTCAACTCTTGCACAGAATCAAGGTTTGCCATTTTTAGGACATCTGTGATATTTTGTGTGTGTGTCAGGTCAGTGTCCAGCTCCCTACACTCCAGCTGCACCAAACCTTTCTTCTCCTGGACCCACTTGAGGAGGTAGGATTTGAGTGGATCCTGTAGATCCTGAGAGAACATGAAGTCTAAAACCAACTGGAAGGGCTGCTTCTCTGCTATCCTTGGCCCATTGTCTATTTTTCTCCTCTTCATGGCCTCTGAGGAGCTGGCTGAAATCATTCTCCTAAACCAGAATCTGCAGTGGTTCTCAAACATCTTTCCAGCCCAGACTCTCCAGAAGCTCTTGTGCATGGCCCGAAAATTTAGCGCTTGTAATTTCACCCTCCTGGGGCAAACCTTTTGGGCCAGCAGCCCATCAAGCCCATCTAGCACATCTAGCACAGCTTGTAACATCCACAGGCTCCTGTTCTGCCACAGCACATCATCCAGCTCAAGTTGTGATGTCCCTGGTTTCAGCAAGTTCATCAGTGGCTTCAAGGGTAGACAAGGAAAGGTCCAGGACTGCACCACGGCCTTCAGGACCTCAGTGTGTCCCCTGGTGAAGGCCTCCATGAACACTTCTGGGAAGAGCTCCCCTGGCAAATCTTCCAAAGCCCCCATGGCCAAGTCTTTGTCCTCTAGCAGATTCTGAACTGCCAGCTGCAGGAGCGTGGGTAGGGCCCTCTTGCGCCTCATGGTGAATTTGCAAGGCCAAGGTTCCAGGGTTAGATGGAGTTGGTGAGGTGCTCAGGCCTCCCAGGAAACCAGGCAGTGACTCCAGGCTCCAGGCTCCAGCTGACTTTAGAGGAAAAATTTTAGAGGAAAAGGTTTCAGAAGGAAGTAATTAGCCCTGCAGTCTGTTCTTACCTGGCACCAAAGGACCAGTGTTACTAGAGATACACTGAAAAATGAAGTGAGCTTACTCCAAACTGCTGGGGAAGTAGTGCTACCTTTAGCCAACATAAGAAGCTTCCCTGGGCGGGGAGTGGTGGTGCACACCTAAGATCCCAGCACTTGGGAAGCTAAGGCAGAAGGATCACCGTGAGTTCGAGGCCAGCCTAGGCTACATAGTGAGTTTAAGGCCAGCCTAAATTACAGACCTTGGCTCAAAAAACAAAACAAAACAATCAATCAGCCAATCAATCAATCAATCAATTAGAGTAATGTAGTATTAGTTTCAAATATTTCTCAAATATCCATGGAAATGGAGTATAGATAACTGAATCAAATAAGAAACAAAAATTTCCAAGTAGCAGAGAAGAAAATGGTCAGGTAAATTAAAGAATAATCTTTTTCCACAGTTGGAATGAAGGAAGCCATCACATTGATCTCCTTTCTATATCATAATTAACTTTCTACTCCCAGATATTTCCTGAATTTTCACCTAGCTTTTACAAGGATATTTACCCTATGATTTTTTAACTAAGAAAATTATTGATTTTGTTATCCTGACTTAAACCAAGATGAATTTGGTAGACTTCTGAGTCCTCCAAGTATAAAAGTAATGGCAGTCTCAACTATCAATACATTGTAGATACCTGGACCTGCAGCTGCCTTTTTTTTCTTTCTCTTCTTCTCTTCTCCCTCTGCCTGCCTCCTCCTCCTACTTCTTACCTCAATCTGTTTTGCTTTCTTTTGTTTAACACCGGGTCTCACTGTGTAGCTCAAGCCTTTTGAAAATCTGTTTTTTTCTTCTTCTTTTTTTTTTTTGTTTGAGACACTGTCTAACTCTGTAGTTCAGCCTGGCTTTGAACTCACTATGTAGGCTAGACTGGCCTTGAACTTGCTGAGACCCTCCTGTCTCAGCCTCATGAGTGCTGGAATTAAGGGTGTTTGCCAACATGCCTGCCATACAAATGACCCCAAGGAGTGTATTTCCAAATGGTTTTTTTTTTTTGAGACAGGTTCTTGCTATGTAGTTCAGGCTGGCTGCTGGCCTTCAACCCACTAGGCAGCATAGGCTGGCCTGGAACTCATGGCAATCCTCCTGCCTCAGCCTCCAAAATGCTGAGATTTCAGGCAAGCAACACCTTGTCTGGCTATTTCCAAATCCTATCCAATTTTCTAGCACTATCCTTTCTTATTAAAGTGTAAAATCTATATTTGTGAATAAAATAATACATATTTTCCAAAATATTCATAAAGCTTTTCCAGGAATGATGAGCTTAAAGTGATTTCACTTTATTCTTTTCCTTTCCTGTATTTTACAAAATGTAGAAAAGTAGCTTATAGTACCCGTGTAATCACAAAGTAAAATCTAAATACCTTTTTGTGTGTCTCAGCAGTTTGGGAGAAAATTTGATGGCTCTCTCTGACAATTTTCAAGGTCTTTTTAGGCAACTTCTAGTTGTGCATGGAGAATTAAGGACCAGAACCTTGCATAAGAAAAATCTGCAGAAGAACTTTCAGTGTTCACACTAACAGGTCTGGTGGTAGCAAGGTGAGAAGAAAAGTTCCATTTCAGTTCTTTCTTTGCCCTTTTCACCAGTATCTCTAGCACCATCTAGCTGAAAACGATAGGGAGCTTTGATGGTAATGTTTTCAGCAAGCCCTGGTCCACTGCATTTTCCCATCAGGGAACCTGGGACACTGAAACCAAGATTGGTTAAGATTTTTGGGGAGATGGAAAGAAGAAACCAAAAATGAACAAGATTTGGTTTGGCAGTTGCCTTTGACTCACTCGTGTTCATGCTTTCACACAGGTGACCTGAGGTTGCAATTGGCAACTGTGCCTTAAACCCAGCCAAGAAGAGCAGCCCAGGCAGTTCCCTGTTCCTGCAGGAGATGTGGCCCTGCTTCTCCAACTTGCACGCTGTAGCGCACGGGGTTCTGGATCTGTCTCCAGGGCAGGCAGTCTGGATCCCATGGTCCTTCAGACCAGTCCAAGTCCTGCCCAGGCCCTGGCAGGGACAGGAGCAGGCAAGCAGTGTTCTCTCCCACCCTCTGTTCTACTCCAGCATTGTCTTGAAACCATAAATAAAAACAAGTCTGCCTACTAATACAGCTTCTATTCAATATTGTACTAGGTGATACACTTTAAAAAATTGTGCGGGACAAGGACCCGAGTTCGATCCCCGGTACTAAAAAAAAAAAAAAATTGTGCGGGAGGGCCGGGGATTTAGCTCAGGGGTTCCGCCGCCTGCCTCACAACTGCAACGTGCAAAGTGCCATCCCCAGTACCAAAAAAAAAAAAAAAAAATCTTAATCACATCTGCAAAAAAATTGTGCGGGAGTTGTACTTGGTGGCACATAAGTGTAATCCCAGATACTAAGGAGGCTGAGGCAGGGGGATTGAAAATTTGAGGTCGGCTTGGGCAAGTTATGGGCATCAGAATAAAATATAAAAGGGCTGGGGATGAACGTCAGTGGTCTCTATCTTTTTTTTTTTTTTGGTACCAGGGATCGAACTCTGGTCCTTGTGCTTGCGCAGCAGGCGGCAAAACCACTGAGCTAAATCCCGGGCCCAGTGGTCTCTATTTTAATCTTCAGTACTAAAAACTTATTTTTAATTAAAAAACAATTTTATGTGGGGCATGGCGGTTTAAAAAGACAAAATTACAGTATTAAAAATAAGAAACTAAAAAGAATTGATATTTGCAAGAACTAAGATTATCTGATAGAGGGGAGCCAGGTCGCGAATGTACAGAGGTAGAGCGCTGAGGACGGGGAGGGGAGGTGGGCAGCGGCTTGGCCGCATCAGCCGCCAGTTTGTCACTGTGGCTGTTGGGAACCAGCGCTCCTTGGAGGGGAGCTTCCAGTCACAGTAGGGATCAGTGGAAATCCATGGGGCTGGGGAGCTAGCAGTTTCCAGGCTGGGAGTCACAAAACCTACACCGGTATGCAGGGGAGCCTAAGGTCCACAAGGGCAAGAGGATGGGCTCTCCACAGCTCCTCTGCTTCTCCAGTAGAAAGATCTGTGAAGAGTGCCAGAACTTTCAGCTATGTTGGAAAGCTGAAGCAGGAGGTTGGCAATTTTCAGGCCATACTGAACAACCCAGCAGAACCTACCTAATAGTGGGGTACCCCCTTCCTTGGTTATGGTTTTTTGAGACAGGGTCTCCCTATGTAGTTCAGACTCAACATTGAACTCACTATGTAGCCCAAGCTGGCCTTGAACTCACAGTGATCCTCCTGCCTCAGCCTTCCCAGTGTTGGGACCACCACGCCCAGCCAACTTGCCAAAAAGTAAGGGATACAAAGGCCCCAGGATCCAGCTCAGTGCTAAAAGACCACTGAGTTGCATCCCCAGTACAGTGGAAGAAAAAATAAAAACCTCTCAGCTGTAACATGGAACAATAATATTACCAATGCTCTGGTTGTATATATAAATTCTGAAAGTTGATAGTGCATTTAATAAGCAGAAAAAAGCTTGTCGACTTAGACAACAACCATGTAGTCTAAAAAGAAAATTGAAAGCTTTTTTATAGGAAAAAATAAGTGCAAAAGCCATGATACCTTGCTTGTTGACCAGGGTTTGTAATCTGTGTTCTCACGTCTGGTGCTCTGAAGGATCTCCCAAAATCCAGGTCGGCAGAAACTCTAAGGTCTCCAAAGCTCAGCAGCTGCCTCAGAGTCAGCCTCGGAGAAGTGGTGCTGTGTGAGGGGAAGAGGGCTCTTTAAGTAGAGAAACCCACCTACCATCACACTATTATGTTAATTGACAGGAAACCACTCCCACTTTGAGAAATGTCTGACAAGCCATGATGTCCAGTTGGAGGAGACTGGCTCTAGTCTTCAGCAGAATTGGAAATGACTGATGTATACCTTTGGTGAGCAAGTGCAGGAGAAACCATGGAATACATTAGTTTGGGGTGAGATGCAAACAAGATGACAGACACTGTGCCTTAGTCATCTTCCTGGTTGTGGAGACAAATTACCCAATACCTACCACTTCAAGACAGATTTATTTTGGCTCAATTTTTAGGTCATAATCCTGTGGCTCTGAAGCAGGGCAGCACGGCAAAGGGACACAGTAGAGGAATTCTGATCAAGACCTGGTGGACAGGAAGCAAGGAGCATCAAGAATGGAGCAGGGGAGGGCGCTGTGCCTCCCAGGACACAGCCCCATCACCCCACTGCCTGGGTCCAGCTTCCACCTCTCAAGTTCACTTTGACTCTAAACAAGGCAGTGGTGATGATCACACCCTATCATCCAGTCACCTCCCAAAGGCCCCACCTGTGAGTACCTGAGCCTTCGGGGAAGGTACAGACCTAAACCAAACTACACAGATGGTGCAAAAATGCACATTAAACTCAGTCAGTTATTTCACTATATAATTTTTATATGTGAGGAGTATCCCCACACACTAGTAATTCTATGCCTACTATAGGTTGTGTGATCCTTGTACCAGTGAGGTATACCCACAGCCAGAATTTAACACTTTTTGAGGAAAAAGAAATTAACGTTTGACAACAGTGTATAACTTGTAGACCAAGAGTGGGATGTGGTGGCACATACCTGTTGTAATCACCTCTACTGGGGAAGCTGAAGCAGTAGGATTGCAGTTTTGAGGGCAGCCTGACAAGGTAATAAGATCTATCTAAGTAAGAGTGTGAAATAGGAGTGATTTTTTTTGCTTGGTTCCAGCGTATTTGTGTAGCTTGCTAAAGGATTTGGGTTCAGTCCTCATTATAAGAGAGGGAGGGAGGGGAGAGAGAGAGAGAGAGAGAGGGAGAGAGAAGTGAAGGAGATTGGG